AAAAATCTTCTTTTCTTGGTTTGCAAATGAAACTTGATTTTGCTCAGACTCACTGATCATCTATAAAGCACAAGAAAATTTATATATACTTTTCTGTGTTTCACAGAATGTTCTCATCTCGCATGGAATGTGGTGCCTTTTTTTTTTTCCTTCTCTTAAACGTGGAGCCTTATGCCACTTCTTTAAACAATTACTTTTGCTAAAGAAGGAGTGTACTGAAGAGCAAGTCGTATTTTTCTGATCATGTCTGTCAAGAGTTAATATTTTTAAATCGGTCTTTGTCAGTTCTAAGGATAAAAAAGCTTTAAATAGATAATTCTGGATCATAAGGGTAAATTTTACTTAGTTAAAGAAATAAGCAACAGCTAGATTTCTGAATATACTGTTTTATAATGCATTTGGTTTTCTTTCTGCAGGAAATTATGTTGCAGTGGGAAACATGACCCCAGTTATTGATATTTGGGACCTTGATATAGTGGACTCTCTAGAGCCAGTCTTTTCCCTTGGAAGCAAGAAAGAGAAAAAGAAGAAAAAGAAAGGAAAAAAAGTAAGTATTGCAAAGATGCTAATCTTCTTGGATTGTAGAAATTTTGAGCAAGGTTAACATCATACTTCCTTTTTTTCTACACTGAAGAAACGAAACCATATGCAGTCTAGTTTAATTGTGTCTGTCTTATAGAAAGGTGGTTTCCAAGTGGGTTATAGAAGATAACACTGTGGTTTTATCCAAGCAGTTTGCAATGCTGCTTTCCTGCAGCTCAATCAAATGCCTGATTTCCACTGAGGCTCTAAAGTCTCCTTTAAATTGTGTCCACATGCACAGGGTTTATCTACAGAGGGGACAGCAGAAGGACACACAGACGCTGTGCTTGACCTCTCTTGGAATAAACAAAGCAGGTAAAAGAATTTTTGAATAACTTCCAATGGATGGTTACAAATTAGCATGCTAAATTATGTACACGTTTTTCACAGAAGTCCAAAGCCTTGTGTATTGTAAGTTTAAGCTTGAGAATAGCATTAGAATGAAGCAGAGTTTAATTCTCAAAATATGTCTTATTTTTTAATGTTTATTTTCCTTTTTAGTGAGTTGCCCAGATGAGGGCAGGGCAAAGGTGGGTCTGAGCCACTTGATGAATCAGCTACACTTAAATAGATGTACAGACTAGAGTAGCACAAACGTTGCCCTGACCTGTGCCACTTTGCTGATGATCTGAAATGCCCTTTCAAATGGTAGAGGTAGCTATTACAGAAGGAGCTCCCTGACAGTCCTCCCTTCTGACTTCTGTCCCAGTACACTGAGGAGAAAGAAGAATAAAGGGAGGAGCATAAACCAGTAGCAGCTTAAATACAGAAATGCCTCTGACTTCTTGGATTGTCTGAGCCTGAGACTCTCCATTGCCTGAATGAATGAGTAATGAAATATTGCTACTGAACACAAAGCTGACTCATCTTGAGCGACAGGTCAAGGCCAGTGAATGTGCTGACTGAAGTAAAGAGGCTTTTATTATTATTTATTTACTAGTTCATTTGGGTCATTTAAAGAGTGCAGCTGTCAGAGTTTTTGTGGCCTGGACCTTGAAACTCATGTTCCTGTCAGATAACAGACTTTCTTTTTATTTTATTTTTTTTCTGCTGTCATAAATGTCTCTGAAGATGCATATAATACTTCCATGTGCTCCTGACCAGCAAGTGTTAACTTCACTTAAAACTCCTTGTTATCTAGACACTGAAGGAGGAACCAGCCCCTTAGGTATTCAGTAAACATACCTAAATTGCACTCCAAATTTACTGTGCATTGTCTGTTGTCACACAAAGTATGATAATGATCCTTCCATCGCTCGTATGAAATTGTTAATTTCATGTTGTCTGGAAGTGGTTGGCTGATCGCAGTATCTAGACAAGTCACAGAAATTACAGCTATAAGTGTCTGGAATATATAATTCTATATATGCCAGGTTACAAACTCATTGATACTAGTAGATCCTCTGGGAGCAAAAGAAACTGCCTTGAAAGGGGAAGGTTTTGTGCAATATGAAGAGCTTGCAACACCTCCTATTTAGATGCATTTTTGTAAAGCAGGTCATGCTGTGACAGCTCTTTGTAAATAGCCTTCTGTCTGTAGGTCATAGTGATGTTACTGCAAAATGTTGGCCTAGCTTCCATTGCCTCTGTTCTTAACTGTCCCTTTCAATACAGTTCAAAAGAACAGCATTGTGAGGAGAAAGTCACCTCTTTCAGCTAGAAACACCTTGTTAGAATATGAAGAGTGGAAGGACCAGTTTCAAACAGAAACAGCTTGTTAGAGTAATAGATGTGTTTAAGACCTCCCAGGTAGTGATTGTACTGTGTGTCTGACAGACCTTTGTGAGTGTTTTGGGCTTTATCTGTATAAAGTTTTCCACTGCCTTTGTTGCTCTTAGCATAGTTGATATTTAAATTGGAATGTGATGTCAATAAACTAATTGTGAATCGTTAGTAATTGGTTTGATTTGGAGCATTCTGTGTAGGGGGTTCAGTGTTGGACTGTTATTACTAATGCTAACATGCCAGAGAGTGAAATATTTTGTTAAAAGTAAGTTTCTGGCTCTTGGCATGTGCATATGGAAATAAACCTAAGCTGCATAAGTAACGTTTTAAAATACTCCCTTAATGTCCCCAAAAAAAAGGAAAAAAAAGGGATGGAATCCTCGAAAGCCCTGCTTTGCTTAAAAAAGCTTCCAGTAAATAATTTTTCTTTTTTATAGGTGTGTTTGCAAAAATAAGGGCAAAACTGTCAATTTTATATTGAAATTCTTTTAGTAATGCAATATAATATGGTCCATTTGTAGTCCTTGCTTGTAGTTTATAGTTACCTTCCAGGAAGTTATTCCTCATGCTTGAAAGAAACAGACTGTAGACCAGAGTGAACTTGATCTCCAAATCAGACTCTGTGGGGTATTTTGGATTTTTGGTTATTATTTGCTTTTTTCTGTAAAATATTTTAAAAAATAAATTTGTAATTATCAGGAACGTGTTAGCAAGTGCATCTGCTGACAATACTGTAATTCTGTGGGATATGTCTGTGGGAAAGCCAGCAGCCAGCCTGACGTTACACACAGACAAGGTAGGTAATTATAGCTGTGTTTCTTCCACTGTAAAATATGGAGAAAAATATTGCGATTTATTTCATTAGCTGCTTCTTAGTGAACTCTTCAAACATTAAGTCAGTAATTTCCAAAAGACATGCAAAAAAATGTGCAGAATTCTTTAAACTTCTGAATCAGTTGCTTTTGCGGACAGTACTTTCAAAAGTTTTATTTAGCTTGTCAGTTAGAAAGCCTGAGGGAAAATTTCACAGTTTTTTTTTTTTTTTTTAATTAATTCTTTAAACTTCTGAATTAGTTGCTTTTGCGGACAGTACTTCCAAAAGTTTTATTTAGCTTGTCAATTAGAAAGCCTGAGGGAAGATATCACAGTATTTTTTTTTTTTTTTAATTTTTAAAACACTTTCATATAAAGCCGATGATTGGGAATCTAATAGTGCTGGTATAAGCTACAAAAAGTAGATCCCTGAGAATAGGTCAAATTATAACTATCTCTTATAGAAACAATGAGTGTCAGTTGCAATCTGTTCTGGATGAGTATGTTTTAAAATAAATGATAGCAAAATACCATAGTGATGGGTATTTCAGAAATGAATTCGTCTCACAGTAATTAAAATGTGAAAGTTGGCTATTAATAGCTGTAACCTTTGCTTGCTTGACAAAGTCACTGCCCTTGGCAAACCCCTGATTTTTTTTTCTCTTTTTCTCTTGCTAATATATGCATTTTTGTGAAACTGAGGCAGCTATTCTACCTCTTCCAGGGGATTTTGTTTGTTTTTACTATTTAAGGTACAAAGGGGGCATGTGATTTTGCTTAGTTAAATGCCACTGGGCAGTATTAAATTCCTTCTGGAACTAAAAATGATTCCTTGAATTTTTTTGATGGAGAATGAGAGATTCAGTGAGCTTACTGGAAGTTTTTTTGAGTAAGTGTTTTTCTTTTGTGCCGTGCTTGCTCAGTGAGAGTTCCTGCATATGTGCATGTTAAATATATGTATTTTTCTCTCATATAGGTTCAGACATTGCAGTTTCATCCATTTGAAACTCAGACCCTTATTTCTGGATCTTATGATAAGTAAGCAAGGGTAGTGTTTTCAAATGTTATCCTGAGGGCGGGTATAAATATTGAATTGAGTCCATTAAGTTGCCTCATGTTTTCTTATTTCAATTGCTTATAACTGTGCCAAATTTGAGTACTTTTTTTTTCCCCAGGAAGGTAGCCAGGGTTGAATGTGACCAAAATACAGTTTTCCTTGCTTCTTTCTCAGGACTGGCCAACTCCTTTAACTATCTGGACTGAAACTTTCCGTGCCAAGCGCGTGCTTTCAACTGAGTTTATTTGGCATAATGGCAGTTCCTGTATAGGAAATGTGCCTTTCCTGCTCTCCGTGAAAGCCTGTCCAGATTGGGCCAAACTCTAAGCCTAGGGTGATTAGGGAATTGAAAATGCCCATTAGCTCTCTGTGGTCTTTGCTGCATATGCTGCTGCCCAAACTTAGCAGAGCCTCTGCTCTGGCTGCAGTCTGGAGGTGCCATGTTCGTGCCTGGACACTTGGTCTGACCCTGAAATTGGGGATTTGTGTAAGACTTGGAAGTCAGAAGGCTCCTTCTCTGCGGGTAGCATCTTAATTTCATTCGATAACCATCTTTCTGTAAAGCAAATTTGCTTTCTGCCTTTTAAGACTCTGGACTTGTATGAGTCCATTTAAAGCCTCGTTAATCTTTAGCCAGGTTTTTATGTTCCCTGGCTGATGTTCACTGGGAGGGGAAAAGAATTTATGTTGTTGAGGGAGGTGGATGGAAGGAAGTTCCCAGTCTGACCTCATTCCCATCAGGGTAGAATAAAAGAATAAGATAGTCCGGACGCTGAGGGCAGCTCTCCCAGTGCTTTTCAGCTAGTCCTTCAGTCTCTTGAGCACCCGTAAGGCAGAGCACTGCCTTTGTAGGCTTCTCCTGTAAAGCATCTCCTGGCCACAGATTGTTTGAGGAGTGTGGGCAGATGCTTTCATAACGTGAAGGACCACTTAAGAATTGCTTATGCGCTAAAATTGTTTTAAAAAACGACTGGTAAAAGAACGGAGAAATCTGATTTCTTTGGCTACGGTTGTAGGATAGGGTGGGAATGACTTTTAGTGTGGATACCGGCTGAGGTGTCACTAGAGGGGCAGCATCTCTGCACTCTTACATGAGCCTGAAGGAGCTTTTGGAGCTTGAGCAAATTCTGTCCGCTCTTGGGTTGAGCACAAAGCTGTAAAGAATCCCAAGGGACCAACTAAATCCCAGCTGCTCTTTGTCCCTGTTAAAATAACATTTCCCCGACCGTTTGTAAAGATTTTTTTTTCTTTTTTATTAAAGCATATTTAAATATGTTTGTGTATGTGTCACACACTGATTTCCTAATTAGTACATTATTTTGAGCAATAATTACTTTATTCAAGTCTGTTCCTAATTAAGTGATATGTTTGCATAATTACAGTCTCCTATGTGATAAGTATCTTGTGTATTGAGCAAACTGGAGCTTCCTTTGCTTTGTATTAGTAGAAGTGCTGTTCCTAACCAGGACAAAACATCGAAGCTTGTGCTCTTAAGAGATTTTCTTTTATCTGTTGTGATCAGGAAGACTAAATATTGAATTTGCTTCCATTTCAGTATTAGAATGTACACAGGGCCTCTATGGGACAGTGACAGAAACAAATGTCATTGAATCACATTGATTAGATGGAATTCAGGCAGGGTTTTGGCGAGCCCTCAGGCCGGCTGTTTTCCCGCAGGTCGGCCGTGCTCTACGACTGCCGAAGTCCGCGGGAGAACCACCGAACGTGGCGCTTCAGCGGCCAGGTTGAGAGAGTCGTGTGGAATCATTTCTCACCCTGTAACTTCCTGGTGAGTGCACGCTCCTCTACTTCTGCTCTGTTGGCTGTTGCTGTTTTATTTAGCCAGTATTTTAGTGTTCATAATGTCCCTAAATCATATAATGAAGCTGATGGAGAGTGGGGGTCTCACCGTTGTCTGGTTTAGACTTACACACAGTGTGTGCAAGTTGGGGGGTGTTTTTAGAATGTCTCTTTCAATGTGTTTATTGGATTTGGTTATTCTTTTGCTATCATCTCTTTGTTGTGATAGAAGAAAAGCAATAAAAGCAATTAGTGCTGATCTTTTAATCACTGCAGGGATGGTGCCTTCGCCATGTTGTCACAGTGTGCAGTGGCTGGGGTATATTTTCCTCTGTATAGTCCCTGTTACGCTACATGTAAAGAGGCCCTTGCAGCTGAGGAGTAACCGATGAGAATTAAGGTCCTGAATCCTAACTCAGTGCTTCCCATGGGCACCAGAGGGCACTGTCCTCCTGTCTGGTGTAGAGTGGAAGTTAGCTAGTTCTCTGGAAATCCTTCTTATAAAACTTTTAATCAAAAATAATTGTTTAAAATCCTGTTTATTGTCTCAGCTGTGCTGTTTTTTCTGTTGCTTTGTGCATACAGCCAACAAAAGTTGCTCAGGTTTGTTGAGTTTGATGTAGATCCCTCTTAGTAAAATCATGCTTAACTTTGCACTTATGCAGCCACTGGATGGCACAAAAGGCTCTATATTTCATTGTCTAATATCAGAACCAAGCCTAGTACCGTAACTTTCTTCAGAATGTGATGTAAGAAATTGTATAGGGTAAGACTTGCAAGTGCATCAGCGCAGCATGGTTTGGGGACCCAGAGTGGCTCGGGTCCCAGCCACAGCCTGACCTGAATGGGCAGGTAACGTGCCCTGCTGAGAGGCAGTGTGAGCCTGTTAAACCCTGTGGTTTGGGGCCATGTGTGGGTGTTATTTCATGGCAGCTTTCTCAGGTGAACAGCTGTGGCTGCTGTTTCAAGTGTTTTGCCTTCCCTAGGCAAGCACGGAGGATGGCTTTGTGTACTGCCTGGACGCGCGCTCGGATAAGCCCCTGTTTACCCTGAAGGCTCACGATGAAGAGGTATCAGGTAATTTATGTCTCTTTAGTTGTGTTGGTCCAAAGACACAGGGGGATGCACATCTGGGAGATGTCTCCAGCCTGTACAGCTGAGGTGGCAGTGGTTACTTGCTTAACAAAAATCATGTGTACTAATCGTGGGTAGCTGGCCCATGAAACAGGTCTCTGCAGAGAAGCTATTATAATGGAAGTCCTTGTTTTATCCTTGACAAAGGACAAAAACTGTGGAGGCTAGGTTAAAAAAAATGAGGATTGTCAGCTGTAACACTAACCTGTTTGATCCATAATTATTTTATACTGGTATTCACTTTGGAGATTGCTTGATATGAGGCGTGGGAATGTCTTTACACTGCCTGTTTTTGGTTACTTTAGTAACTTGACCACAGTATGTCTTTTAAAAAAAAAAAACAACTCTGAACACCAGACATCTAAAATTAAATGACAGGAAAATACCCCACTGTCACAGACAGCAAAAGCGATAGTCTTTGGGAAACAAATGAGGAAAGCTACCTGGGGAAGCCTGATTATGTGGAATAAGAAGAGTAACATCTTTGCATTGTGCAAGACTCTGTGGTTAGCGAGGGGTGAAACGGGCCCCGATGAAGCTAATTTGCTCCCGTGAGACTGTTACTGCTTTCACCGTGGGAGCAAAGGCAGCGTGAAACTCCCATTAACCTGAGGACTCTCAGGTTAGCTCCAAGCGTGTCCTTGTCTGTGTGAATTGGTGATGGCGCGCGGCTCTGCCTGATGCTCTCCTCCATCTCCCAGGGCTGCAGCTGAGCAGTCAGATCAGAGGGTGCCTCGTGACGTCATCTGCAGACAAATACGTGAAAATCTGGGATATCCTGGGAGAGAAACCAAATCTGGTCCATTCTAGGGATATGAAAATGGTAAAGTAACTTTCATCGCTTGATTCTAAGGAGGCTTGAATATGAACTATGTCTGTGTAATCTTTTTTTTTTCTTCTAACTTGTATCTTCTTTTCCATAACTTGACATACTTTAGAAGAGAAAAAAAACACATTTAAAAATGTGTATTCCAGGTAAATCATTCTCCTTGCAATGCAGTATTCAATTCAACATAGAACTATCTGCTTCGAAGCCTTGGACCTTTATACTGGATGCAGTGTTTTAGGGCAGAACTCTGGATACTCTAACCTGTATCTATCAAGGCAAAGAAGTGATTCATTTTTCTTTAAAGTACTTGGAACTCAATTTCAAGGAAACAGCAATCTTTCCTCTGTTAAACTTAGCTGGTAAAGCAGTTTAAGAAGTCAGTGTAACTCACTTCAAAGACAAATGCAGCGCTTGTTCTCTCCCCTTCCTCCCAGGGCGTGCTGTTCTGTGCAGCCTGCTGCCCTGACCTGCCTTTCGTCTTTGCTTTTGGGGGAGAGCGAGAAGGGCTCCGCGTCTGGGACATAAGCAGCATTTCTGCAGGTAATGTGCCCATTTATTGGAGTCCTGCAGCTCTCCCACTGCCCTCTCGGTGGACTGCATATTCCGTAATGTGGTGTGGTTCTGAGAGAAACTGTAGGCTGTTATTTTTAAAGAAATACCTGAAGAGTGGATATGTTTTCACACTGTCAGGTTTAAGAAAGTAGAGCTTTTGTTTGTTTGTTTTGGGTTTTAAGAATTGCACATTTATCTCTTTCCTTGCAGCAGAAATACAACACCTGCTTTCTCATAAAAACCTATGTTTGTCTGCTTTCTCCTTACCTTGATTACACCAGGAACATTATCATATACTTGGGTTCCTCTAGGAACAAAAGAGAGAACTGTTTTTGATCAGTTATCTCGGTTGCATTTGACTAAATGGCATGAATTTTGGAGAAAGCTTTAGGAAGTTGGTGGAAACTAGACTAAAACCAGAATTAAATTATCTAAGCTTAATGCTTTGCTGTACCAAACTCATCATACCTTTCACAGCCTGTTCATAATTAAGCGCAGGAAAACATCAAGATTTCCTGGTGGAGAAAGAACAGGACTTGTAATTTAAGTATTGTATACTTAAATCTATAATACTTATTATGTAAGTATATAAGAGCCTGTTCCGACATGTAAACTTCCACTCCCTGCCCTGGGAAAAGGGGCAGAGCTTTGCAAACTGCATCAGATGAGGATTTCCATTCTGTGATGTTAACCCTGCTGTACTGCTCCAGTATCTGGGGAGGAAACATGTAACATCCTTTATCCGTGTTGCAGTGAATGAAGTTTTTGGAAACAGAGAGCGACTTGTTTTGGCTGGTGCGAACACCGCGGCCCGCAGCTCCTTGGCCAGCAGTAGCAGCAACAATTCAGAGACAGCAATGGAATCGTGATTGACCAGACTTCCCAAAATCCAAGTAATGAATGGGACTACACATAAATACGTATTCTGCAGCTTCCCCTGTGCTTGGCAAGTGTTCCCAGAAATGACTCGAGTGTCTTGTAATCTGCATCCTTCTCCGTCTTGTTCAAAGAAACATGGTTGCGGGGTCATGCTCCACGTTCCTGCCTCCATCACTAGCTTTGAGAGGATTCTTGCTCGTGTCTGAGACCGTGATCCCAGAAATAGGGGGCAGATGAGAACCGATTTGTAAAATCAATTTGTAAATCTCCACCAGAAGAAGTGTTGCAGCAGAAGTGTGGGTCCTGTATGGCAAAGAAGGTAAAACTAATGGGCTAACGAAAAATATTTCAGACAGAACTGGTGTAATGTAAAACAAATGCTGAGCAAAAGGAGCCAGTGTAAATAATCCAGGGCTCTATCCTTTGAGTAAGTTGCGACTATATTTACAGATTTCTAATACATTTTAAAATTTCTTATTTATTTTTGTCTTGAGTGCAGTTCCTGGACTGCAAGGGATGTCACCAGTATCAAACCAGAAATACCCTGTCTCTTTCCCAGCAAGAGCAAGAGTTTCTTTTCCACAGTTCAACAGCACTTGGAGCTTAGGGATGGTGCATCTCCCACTCTGTTCTATAAGCGATATTTAAAGAGAATTTGAATGGAAATAGGAGCTACTGGGCAGAACAGGATGAACACAGAGCTTGGGCAAGCATCTCAGCTAGTCCCCTTGTCTTGTTAGTTATCTGTGTTCTGTACTTGTTCTTAATCTCTCAAAAGTGGTTTTGTGTGAAACTTGAAGGAACAGAGAAACAGTCTTGAGTATCACTCTACCCCTCGATTTAACCACTGAGGTTTACAGCAGCAGGAACCTAAGTGGGGAATGCAACCCAAGCACTTCCCTCTCTTAAAATAAACAGTGTGACTTGGTCAGAAGTGAAATCATACTTTTATCTTGTGAAGTGCTTCCCTCTCTGCATATTGACATGGTGGAGATGTGCATCCAAGTAGTACTGCTTTCTACGTGGTACACATTATGCTAGCACGCTAAAGCAGATAAATTGCCTAAGAAAGAGCTATAGAACAAGGTGCTCTCCAGGGAAAAGGTGGGGTGAAGGGAGAGGTATTTCTGAACTTAGACCATTTAGGACAAAAACTGGAGCCTCTTTCACCAGGGAAACCCCAGTGCTCTTGTCAAAGAACAGAATGCAGCTGTTTTCCTGGTAGAGCAGAGCCAGAGGAGCCACATTGCAGAAGGTTGCACTGTTAGAGACCCCCCCATCTTCAGGAAGGAGTTCCTACCTTGTACCAGGAAACCTTGGGAGAGGCAGAATAAGTCAGGATATTACTCCTCTTATCAATACCAGAAATTACATCCCCCTTCCTTTTTTTTTTCCCCCCAAGAATATATAATTTAAAAAGAACATTAGAAAAGAGCCACATTTTCATTTTTTGTCAAAAGGAAAACAATTGAATGAAATACATATTCATTCCATAAATAATAATAGCAGCAAACCCTCCCATCACTCTAGGTGGTAAAAAGGTTTACAGCACAGCACTAAGGAATACATACTGTAAACACTGTTTGCTCCTCTCTAAGCCTCTTCCTTACTGTGTCAATAGTCTCTCCCTCTTCATCTACTCACATGTTCTAGTGACCCAGAATAACAAGTTTTAATAACCATTTTCCAGCAAATTTATGATTTTGCGGAACAATTCTGTCATGGGGCACTTGCTTTGTCCCCAGACATCCATTTCACTGGCTACCTTTTTTTTTTTAAACCTCTCTAAAACATTAGATATGAATCCTTAGATGGAAACCTGACCATCGATAATCTCTGCTCTGTGCCAAGCCACCTCCTTGAGTTGAAAAGTAGAGAGAGAGAGAGAGAGGAGGAAACAAACCAACCTATCAACTGCCCTCCCTTGTTGGTTGCTTTTCTCAGTATTGTGGCCTTGGCTGTTCAGGACAGCTGGCTCACGGGTCACTCTGATCACTGAACTGTCTCTCTGGTTTGTGGCTCTTCCCTCAAAGGGCTGTGCAAGGTGTATCCCGGCCCTGGCTGGATAATCTGAGTGATTTGGAAAAACAAGTATGCACAGTGTATGTGGGAAAATCTCCTTGTATCATCCTTGAATGGATTTTCTTCTTAGCAACTGTTCATTGTCAACAGTAAGTGCATGATCCAGTCTCATTCGGCGTTTTGGCTACAGCGAGTTTTTTTAAGTGGTGGTAATAGGGAAACCAAAACAAAAGAAAAACTCCTCATTTGACATAAGATAGTGACTGGGGAAACACAGAAGAGATTTTTCCTTCCACTTTCATCATCCAAGAGCATTTCCCTCTCACTTTCTTCATTTGTGTCCTGAGAGGGCATCTCCTGTTGAATATACTCCATTGTTAACTCTACAGTCTTCAGTCCTCATAGAGTCTATTAATTCCTCCTCTGAATCCTCCTCCTCTTCCTCTTCTGGGGCCGACAGGCTGGACATGGGGCCTTTACATATTTTTAAGTGGCGAGTGAGGTGGTATTTGGTTAGATAAGCCTTGGAGCACTTCTCACAGACATAGTCCCTCTTTCCTTCATGCGAATTGAGATGCTTCTTCAGGTGATTTGTCCTCAGGAACAGCTTGTCACACTTGGGGCACTTGATCTGCCGTTCTCTGCAAGACACAAAAAAGTGACAGTTCACTCCTGCAAAAAGGCAGCTGCCACTGGGTTAAGAAGTGGGGAAGTGGTGAGAACGCCAATAGAAGGGTGGTTCTGCTTTCTCAATTTTGGTTTTAGGAAGCTTGAAGAAATAGCCCACAGATAACAGTAATACTGCAGTCCTAGAGTGAGGAAAAAAAACTCTATAGCATTAACAAAAATAGCACATGTACAAAGACCCTATTCTCTCTTCCTGCAAGACCTTTGGCAAAAGCTGAGGTTTTTTGGCTTAGCTGCTGATTTGCAGCCGTTTTTCTTCCCGAATGATAAATAATGAAGAAAAACGTTCTTTCCCCTGCCCTCCCCTTAAGATTAAACTCCTCTTCATATATTGGCAAGGAAAGAACTACTTGCTCTGGGGGCAAGCTTAGTCCCTTCTCCTTCCCACCCTGCAGCAACAACAAAAAAAAACAAAACCAAAAAAAAAGCTGCCACCAAAGCCCAGTTTGCCAGTGTTAAGTACAGGCTTACCAGCGAGGGACACTCAAATTCTGCCTATGACTGTGCAAAATGCCTCCCCCAAGTGCTGCTGCTCCCAGCTCTGGCCATGACAACAAGGCGCAGAGGAGGCCGCGATCGCTCTGTCTGCCCCGGCGCTCTAGTGGAGGCAGCAGGGATCTAATTCCAAGGCTCCAAGAAGCAGCTGCTGAAACAAAACAAGAGGGCTTACACCAAGGCAGCCTTGGCAGGGGCACTTGTGCTGGGAGTAGCTCCAGCTGGCAGGGTGGGAGGAGGTTCTTGAAGCAGAGGGAAGGATCTGCCCTGGCAGAGAGCTGAGGGGCTGGGCGGGAGGCCGGGGAGGAGGGTCTGGTCAGCCCTGCCCGGCTCTGACAGCGCTGCCTCCACGCGAGGAGGAACGCAGCGCGAGCGAGAGCCGGGCAGCATGTACAGCTGGGAATGCAGGAGCTTCCTGGGCACAGAGCATTCACTAATGGGCCACTCGGGGATACTCCTGAGATATTTATGATTTTTTAATAGCTATGTGAGGCCTTGGAAACAGTTTTCAGAAAAAAAAAATCAATCAAAATGAGGAGCTCTTCAGAATGCTGTTTTCACATCACAAGCTGCAGGCCTGGAATTTCTTTTGTCATTAAAACACTCCAAGCACTAGAATAGCCCAACAGTAACAAGGCATTTGTCCAGATGCACTTCATTTTAGGGGATTAAACCTCCTCTCCCTAGCCCAAATGATTTGTAAACTGGAGCTTCTCTCTGAGGTTGTTAAGCTTCATCGTTTTCAGCAGTGGCCAGTCCAACAAGCCCCATCAGATCACTTGGCTCATGCAACACGTCCTGTCAGCGGCTGTGCTCACTTACTGCGTGTGGGTAAGCACGTGCTGCTTGAGGTCCTGCCTCCGCATGAAGAGCTTGTCGCAGTAATCGCACTTGAGGTTCTTCTCCCCCGTGTGGATGACCATGTGCGACTCCAAGTGAGCCTTCTGGGTGAAGGACTTGTCACAGAGGGTGCAGCGATAGTTCTTCTGACCTAGGGGTACAGACATGCACCTCAGCGAGAGCAAACGAGTCTTGCGGTGAGGAGAGGCAGCCTCTCCGTGAAATGGACCTAGCGCCACGTACAATCCCTCGCTACTTAGTCTAAAGCCATTTAACACTGAAAAAAACAAATCTGACAGCCAATTTCATGCTGTTTAAACAAAAAATACAGGCAGCCAGCCCCCGGTGCTACTGTTTCTAACTACTGAGTCCTTTGTATGGTGCTTGGTGAGGACTCTGTTCCACTACCACCATCATTCCTCTTCCCCCGGTGCCTGGAGCTATTCAGCTCTCCCTGTGAGATAGGTTTTCTTACTCCTGTCTGTGCCACCAGTGCTTCCTTACTTGGGGTGTCACAAAACATCACCACTGTACTCTTAAGTTTTGTAAGTTTTCCAGCAGGAAGATTCATGCAAACATTTAACAAGACTAGGATTAATTCTTGAGTAAAAATAACTGTAGCCTCCTTTTTAATACTAACCCTGGTGACCATCTAGTTACTGCAGTTTCATTCCTCCTCCTCTCCACTCCTTTCCCATTGGGACTGCGTGTGACGCTTTACTGGAGCCCAGAGGGATTTGATGCACTGCACTGCCTTTGTCTAAATCAAGGAGGGATCTCAGGGGAGAGAAGTATGAAGCAAGCTCTCAGATCTGTATCCCATTTTCTACCACCCATGGTTCTTCCGCTGTTCCTTCGCAGATGCAGTTTAAACCCCCATTTAAACTCCCTGACCTCAGCCTAACAGGCCAACCACCCCTTAAGGCCCTACTCACTCAGTGTTCTGAGGTCGTACAGTTCCACACCCGCACAATCAGTTTATTAAAACTCCTGGCTATTCAGCCTGCAGCTTCCTGTGCTTGACTCTTTTCAGTGGTGGCCACCGATAGAGCTAGATGTAATGGCCACAAACTGAAGCACCAAAAGTTCCACAGGAATTTAAGGAAAAATTTCTTAACAGTGAGGGTGACAGAGCACTGGAACAGGCTGCCCAGAGAGGTTGTGGAGTCTCCTTCTCTGGAGATCTTCAAAACCCGCTTGGATGCCACCCTGTGCCACGTGCTCTAGGTGACCCTGTGTGTGCAGGGGGTTGGACTAGATGATCTCTAGAGGTCCCTTCCAACCTTAAGGATTTTATGATGCTAGGATTCCATGACTCCAGTGCACTGAAAGCTGCATTTCATTCACCTTCCAGCTCTGTGATTCCCATACCCTCACTCTCACTAGCCCTTTTAACCTTACTGAAGAAATGAAGCACAATAATCCCCATGGCCTGTTTCTGAACCATACTTCATCTTTTCTCCATCCTCTGTCTGTACTGAATACACACCTTTCCTACTCCCTCTCTTCTTCCACAGTTGAAAAATCTTTCACTATTTGATTTTCCTCTAAAATCAAAATGATAGTGAATGAGGACGTTCAGTATCTGTGACGATTCTTACTTTATCCCCCAAACCTCCAGAGCGATATCCAAATGCCACACAAGTTGACAGCATATTCAGACTTAAATATTGAAGCATGACAGAGCTGGGCAACAGACTTTGTCCGACATGTCAGCCTCGTCATAGACCAGAAATCACTCAAATAAGAGCAGGCTGGTTCAGGGAGGAGGTAAGAGCTGAGCTTTAGGGACATGAGTAACGCCCTGCCAGCTGGCAAAGGGCTCAGCAAACAGGTCCAGCCCTGGTGTATTCACTAGCACGGGCCACACGTCTGTCTCACCTGTGTGTATCTTGAGGTGAGTCCGCAGGTTGCTGGGGTCACTGAAGGCTTTGCTGCAGAAGTCGCACTTGTGCGGCTTCATGCCCATGTGCCCCATGAAGTGCACGTGGAGCTTGGAAGGGGAGATGAAAGCTTGGGGGCACATGGAGCACTTCCACTTCCTCTCCTTGCCGGGCCCGGGCCCATGGCTGCTGCTGTGGCCCTGGCTGGGGAGGTGGTTGTGGATATGGCTACTCAGGTGGGCCTTGAAGTCCGCGTAGGAAATGCATTCCTTCCCACAGTGACACACGTGCACGTCCGGGTGTTCGGGGACACCTGGGAGCACAAAAACATCACTTAATGACGCGCTGCAAGGCCCGACAGAGCACGAGCCAAGGTAACACTTGGTCCCAGCAGCAAAGCCGGCTGAAAAGATTTTCACCCCATCCCTTCAGCACCTGTGCTTCCTTCCGAACGCTTCCACCCAGGTCATTCCAACGGTTGCGGGGGGCTGTGCTTTGCACTGGCTTCCAGCCAGCTCCACCAAACCCCGACTGGCACAACGGAAGGTGGGGCGGGTGGCAACATCTCCAACTAGCAAAATTCCCCGAGCACCAGAAAAACCACCCTGTGTCTTCAAAAACTGAAATCGTTTACAGTAGAATTAGGCAGGAAACATTTCTTCTAAAAGTGGTGCTCCTGAAGCAACGAAATATAAAAAGGGACAGGGAAGTGACCCAGAACACGCAGCACTCCCACGTCACGGTACCCAGGGATGGCACTAAAAGGTAACGTGAGTTGGGTGCTCCTGCAGAGCCAGCAAAGGAAGGGCTGGGCTCCCTTACCAAGCTGCCGTGCGTAGTCCCGGCTGTAGTAGAAGAGCAGCTCGTGCTCAGGTGGGATGTCCCGCGAGGTACAGAAGTAAATTTTTCCATCGTGAGGGTATGCTACCAGATTCTGCTCTTCCCGGTTCCTACAGCGGTAAGGACAGCAAAGAAAAACACTCTCCAAAAACATTCACTTTTTGACAGGAAAAAAAAAAAGGAAATGTCTATTAGCAGGCAATGGGAGAACATGCCTGTCAATGCCTGTCAGCACTTTATGACAATTTACACTTCTGTTACTTCTTTATTATAAAAGATATGAAAACTGAACCATGAGGGCCAACCCAATCTAGTAAGCCCTAAAACATTCATGACACTGAAATATGTTGCAGAGAAAATAACATAGATTGGAGTGGAGGTAAAAGAGCTGATGACCTCTTAAGAGAATAAATAAAAAGACAATTTTTTTTCATAATTCTCTTAAGAAATAAAGGAGAATAATATATATTTTCCATTTATTTATTATTTATGGGACAATACTGATGTCTTCCTGCATCCTTTCTCACTCTAGAAATACTGAGAAGAACAGTTCTTGAGATCAGCAGAAGTTTGGAACTTCAAGCTAGAAGAACCCAGGGATGTGTCACTAACAGGTCAAACAAACAAACAAACAAAGCCAGTCAATACCAAATTCCCAGATATATCCGGAAGGAACAACACAGAAAGAAACTAACCAACATTCAGGAAGAAAATAGAACTTGTTATAAGGCTTTAAAGGGAGGAAAACGGAGCGTTTGGGGATGTTTTGCTACAGAATGAGTAATAATGTGTCCCCCTAAGGCTCTCTGCTGCGTGATCCCTTGCACTGCTCCCCTCTCCAGTCCAAGATGCCCACAAGGCTCCAAGGTGCCACCAAGGTGCCGAGCCTCTTCCCAGGGGCAGTTTGCACAGCAGGTCCCGCGCTCCCCTGCGGCCTCCTACGAGCCCCGGGCCCAGAAGCCAAAGTGACGGGGCGCAGGACAGGGGGCTCCTACCTGGCTTTGTGTACGAACATCATCCAGTTGCAGTCGTTTTCATCGGTCGTAATGATGCAGAACTCCAGGACGCCGCTGTGATAGATCTAACGGGAAAAACAAACAAAAAAACGCACGCCAAACCACAGTGTTAGGGTAAAACGCAGGAACAGCAGCAGTCAGAAATAGCTTCTTTCTTGGAAAGAGGAAGCATTTACTTAAGACTGAGCAGTGAAGCCCCTGTACCCGCTGTGCTGTTCTTGCTCCTTATTTGCCCTTTCACACAGGAATTCTGACCCCTGCACTACCCAGGGGGCTAGAAAAGCTGCTTAATGGCAACTTTGGCACTCCCCCCTTCTGGCTCCCGCCAGAAATGCATCTGGCTGCTTCTCTTACAAGCTACGCTTATGGATAACAGTATCTGGGCAAACAGTACATGCTTTATTTATACAGATCAATTTTATTTTCTCAACATGAACTGATGAGTAAACAAAAGCTTTAAAGCAGCTTCCACACAGAAAATGATTAATCACCTATGGGAACTTTCAACAAACAGTGATAGAAAGCAGATAAACAAATGCTGCCCTAGGACTTCATCTTTGCTGCAATTCCACAGAAATAGTGGAATCCACAAAGAGCCCTTTACAGGAGAAGGTGTTAAAGGTTGTACTTCAGGACTGATCATCAGTATATTAGATGACATATGCAGCTGCTATGCTGATACTAAACATTAAGCAATCAAACACGTTGTGAAATAGCCCCAACTTCAGGTGAGGATGGTAACGTTAAGGCTGCTGTGTCCCATGGTGGCTGTCACCAGGCACGGGCACGTTTGCAGGCTCTGGGAGCGAGGACATCCACTGACCTTCCAGATGTGACTGGCTGCTTTGTCCGTCCAGTCTGCCACCTCCAGAGAGTGGCTCTGCTGCCCAATGAGAGGCCCAAAACAAGTCCTGACAGGGATGGTTTCTCGTGTCCACACACCTATCAGGACAAGATAAACTGATCTGCAGAGACCAGGCATTCAAACAACGGATCATGCACAACAAAGAGACGGCAGGTTTAGGAGACAAAGCTCCACAGGTAATATCTAGGCATAAGATCATCAAAGCTTCTACGGCACACGGAGAACACACCTACTGCAGAAACAAGAACCACCACCACCACATGACACTATCGGGAGCCGCTTTGTTGTAATTACAAATACTTAGTTGGTTTGCCAAAAGCAAATAAAGTTACTTTCCAGTAAGATATAGTAACTAAGATCCTAACCGCTTGCACCAATTAAAATTTTCATGGCACTTCCTGCAGAAGCAGAAAACACTAGTTTCAGTAACTACATTTTGCCTACCTAATCCCCAGGAATTTCCAGAATTGTTGCTGGACATTGTTAAGCAGCTTCTGCATTTCTCCCCAGAGGCAGCTGTATTTCTGTCATGGGCAGAGGGATTCCTGCGTGTATATTATTTATTATTAAACACTTACATATATATATAGGTCTACAAGAACACACTGAACAGCTTTCAGGAATACGCTGGAAACTAGTGCAGCTTGGCAAGGTGTAACCTACTCTTAACAAGCAGCACCACTAAGCAAGCCAATAACCACATTCTTCTCTAGCCTTCAGATCCTTAGAGCACTGCTCTGTACTCCTGGAGCTCCAGGTGTGAAACACAGTAACAAGGTCCACCTCCAGTGACAAGGTCACAGTCTAATGCCAAATGTGAACGAGGGAGGAAAGAAAAGAAGAGAGGCACTTGTGATCAGTTCTCCAGGAGAGCATCCAGAAGACCCCCAGGCAGCAGACCAGGTGATGAACGAGCAGACAGAAATCTCAGGTATTTCTAGGCATTATCTTCCCCCAAACTGCAGTTGCCACAATGTTTTCATAAAAAGTGGTGCCTGGGCAGTGTAGCATGTGGTAAGAATAAAGGTCACACTGGGCTTGTTGTTGGGACTATCGAGTCTTTCAGTGCTCTGTGGCAGCACCCCCTGAGCCTAAACAGTGGCCAGAGGACAAGAAGTTCTTGCATAACATAAGAAGTCATGGGGATTACAAAAGCGAGAGGAGACCACCTCTCCAGGGCAGTGTATCTTTCCCACATTACAATCCCTCAGGTTTGGGATTTGGGGAGGAGGTTGTATTTTAAACCGCTCCATAGGAGTGCACAGTAGTTGGCTTCTTACCCACTTCGGCTCCCACGATGGACGGCCGGAGCAGCAGCTGCTTGGGCAGGGACAGCCTCGCGCGGCTCTCTATGGGCGCGTCGGGGACGAAGGTGACAGGCCCGTGGTCGGGGCAGTCCGACGGATACGCCTTGTCACACAGCGTGCACCCTGCGCAGAGCGAGAGGGACACGGGCATCAACAAGGTGCAACCCAGGGCAAGGCTCACGCAGTGCACGTGGCTGCTCCCCTCCCGTCACATCGGGCATGAGAACCTCCCCCTCACCTCACTGATGGCAACTTAGTCTTCCACACCTATCCCTACAGAGGAACCCAGCCATGGGACAGGGTCCACTCTGCACCAAAATTACTGCACTACCCTGAGGAGTCTCCCTGAGGCTGGCGTTAATGCTGATGATGGACAGAGCTCCTTCCTTTCAGATCACAACTGAAATTTCTTTTATAGACAGATTAAAGAAAAAAACAGTCAGACCAAACTTAACTGGTCGAGTTTTCCAAATTTACCATGAGCACAAGTGCTTTCTTGCGTGCAGAACCTCAAGGATAATGAAATCATGCAGAGGGACAGGAAAGCTTCTTTCTAAAATTCTTCTAATTTGAACCCACATACCCACTTATTTCCAAATAAATTCAGACAATGCACAAATTTTCATGGCAGCAACCTGGCTTCATTGCTGTTCTTGAAGGGCCAACAGCACTAAACTCCTGTAGTACCTTTATGAGATGGCACTGAAGGGAACAAAACCATAGCTCCAAGAACAGGCAGTAGCATCATTTTCCCAGCCCCTCATTCAGCTCAAGGACTGCCGATAAATAAACCACTGGAAGATACTTTTTACACAGCCCAATAATTTCAGGGAAAAGCACTGCACAACACACTTCTAGAAACCCTCCTGTCATTTTATTTTGCAATGAATGGAGCAACGAGCACCTCTTCATCAACAGCTCTCCTGATGAATCTTTCTTCTTCTGCAGAGGGTGCTCAGCTACTTAAGCAGAGTCTCCACCAAGAGTTCCCTTGTCTCTTTAGGCTCAACTTTGGTGCAACAGACATACTGCAGAAGCAGTTTTCACTTGGCATAAGCAACAGCTTCATTAATTTTCCTTTTTTTGGAGGCAAGGAGCGCAGAAAGGGAGCTTTGGGGATAATCCCTTACTGTGCCAGACTCCTGGGAGCTGCCCCCTTGCAGAATATACATAAAGCAAGTGTAAAACAGCAGATACGTAGGGGTACTGAGCAAACTACTTAGGCAGAGCTCGTATCATAATTGCTTTGTGTGTACAAATGACAGGTAGAAGTAGAGCAACCACAACAACCAGACCTGAGCAATGAGAAATACTGTTTGTAACAGCTGTGCGTGTCACAGAGGTTCATGGACCAGCCCCAACAAGACAAAACGCAAGAGCAAGTTTTAGACATGTGACATTTCTAAAGGAGTTCACACCTCTACCTGCAAAGTTTGAGAGCTCTGTTTTTTAAGATGATGAATAAATCCCCTCATTCCAAGGCATGTGCAACATCCCGCTTCCTTTTTGCTTTCCTCCCTGCCAAGTAACACAAGGAATTGCAGTGTTTATTTCACTGATTTAGGCACCCATGACCGCAAGCAAAGACAACAAAAGTGCTACTTAATATTTCACAAAATCTTTCTGAAAAAAGGCCCCAAAGCCTGTCTTCCCAGTGAGCAAGGACCATTAGCAGGTTCGAAACAGCTCCTCCCTCCTTCATGTTGCTACTCAGCCAAAAATTCACTTCTTATTCAGCAGAAGTTTAAAAAACAACTGCAAGTTAAAATGTAATCCTTCCCAAGTGAGAGATCTGTTTTGCAAACCACGTGATAGTGCTAGGAGGGCAATAGCCATTTTACTACCTTCCAATGGGGAATGGAAGGTAGGAAACAGCTTTGGACTTGTTTAAATATAGGAACAGCAAACTGACACACAAAAACTCTCTGGAGTGAATAAGAGGGGGGATTTCATCACTGGCATGGTGGATATCCAAGTATTTTGATTGTTATTTACTTAACATGACCTTATGGTCAGCAACAGATGCTAGTGTGAAGGCACTAGCTGTGAAATTTTCCTATTAACAGTTATAATTTTATCATTGTTTTGAGCCCACCTGATTTTAAGTTATATTTCATCTCTCTCACACACACATACAAAAAAAAAAAAAAAAGCTTTTGTTCAAGTGCCTGACTAGACTCGGAGACCTATGCACCAAATGCACTCTCACGTTTCAATTTAAAGGGATCTGCAGGCAAAGCTGCCACAGGAACCTGGCAGAGCCCGGCCCGTTGCGGCTGGCCTTGCGCTCCCGGCAGCAGGAAGGCGGCCAGGCCGCAAGGGGAAGCTCGAAGGCCCCTGTCCCAGGCAAGGAGAACTGCACAGCTCTCCAACGCTGCCCGTAACGGCGTGGGATGGAAGGGAGGGAGTGCAAGGTCCCCTGCCCCTCTCCTCCTGTGAGACCCTCTGACCTCTGCGCTCAAGCCCTTTAATGAGAATAATGAGAAACATCTAGAACTTCCTTCCCTTCCTGCTCTTCTTTCCAGCAGGCCCCGCTGACAGCCCTATTTTCACAGTAACTAACTGTTCATGCCTTAATTTTACAAAGACCTCACACATTATACTCAACATGAGGAAGTGTACAGCTTGGGCATTTTTTAAGGGAGCAAGAAGAGCCTTTTCAAGAACAGCAGTCTCGTTGCAAAAGGCAGTATCAGGTATCTACCAAAGCCACAATGAATTACGCTTCCAGCCTCAGGGTGGCACAGGAGATGGGTACAAAGAGGACAGTACTAAAATGGCCCGTTACTCCTGCTAGCCAGGCTAACCTGCAACACCCAGCTTTTCTGGACTTCTTGAAAAAAATGCACCAATTTCTTGCACCAGAGCTGTGTGAGACTGCCTGCAAGAGACTCCCGTTTCCTCTAGCCACCCCGAGAAGCAGCACATGCACACTTACATATGGTAAACAAGGTAGCCATGTTCTCCTTGTTTGAATTGGAGTCCTCCATTTGCAGAGAGGATGGCACGAAGGCAAGATTGTCTGCAGACACGTCCACGTGGCTCGGCCCCATGGCCACCTCCTGACTGATGGAAGACACGGCCACGGGCTCCAGGCTGAGGCCCACCTCGTGCAAGGCCACCGAGTCCAAGGAAGCCAGGTTGTGTGAGGTAGAGAGCGCCACGCTCACGGGGTTGCTGCTCATGGCCACGGTATGGATGGAGTCGTTGAGGCTGCTGTCGGCCATGCCGCTCACCCGCGCGGCCATGTGCTCGGCCTCCATCACCACGGGGAGCTCCAAAGTGCTGCCGTGAATGGGCAGGACGCCGCCGTGGCCCACAGCGTCCGACGCCAAGTTGCCGCCCACCGCGTCAACGGCTAAAGGTTCGTGGCTCCGGGAGCCGCTGGGCATCTGCGAGTGGTCCCCGGCCACGTCGTCCATCGTGAGCTCCTCCGTCATCCCGTCTGGGGAGATGGGGCTGGTTACCCTCGAAACGCTCTCCATGGTGATGGTCGTGTCCAGCGCTACGTCGTGGCTGTCGCCGGGATGGAGACTCTGAGCACCGTGCGCGCTCACCGCGCGCGAGTCCATGGGGACGATCCCGGCTTCCAGCCCCACGGAGCCACCGGGCTGGTAGGGATCGAGGGCCGCGGGATTGCTGGGGACTGACAACGCGGGGTTGCTGTCCACATTTATAGTGTTGGGGTGGATGTACTGAGGTGGAGGTCTGTCAGCCAGGTACGACAAGATACCTGAGAGAACGAGAAGGGGAGACAGAATGAGGTGAGGGGACACCAGTCTTCAAACCTGGAACCGAAACAGGCAGGCCCTGCAGTGCACTGCACTAATACCAAGGCCCCTGGAGACACATTCTCTGCATGATGTTCAATTAAGAAGCATTAATTCTAAAACACGGCTCACAAACATATGCCCAGCAGACTCTCTAGTCAAGGTGTCGTTTGACAATGAAAAAGAGTTTCCATCCAATAAAGGAGGCCTCTACTTGTTTGGCATATTCTGAACAGCAAGTTCCTGGCAGCATTCAGTGTAGCTCTCCACAGAACATGCACTGAATCAGAAAGGGGTTCCTCACTTCTTTGTTTTAGCATTTCATTCTCCCAGAAGATGAAAGGTTGCTAGGAGAACTAATCATTTCATAACCCCTGGTTATTCTTTGCTAGGAGTATGGAAGGCAGAAACAGTTCTCCAAGGTACATCTTATTTGCTTGGGCATTTAGGTTTTAACAATGCTTACTTCCTTTCACTATGATAAATAGCACAATTACTCCTCTTAGAGCTCATCAGCTGCAATCCTGAAGGACCAAGCTAACATCTCTCCAAGGCATCTTGAGTAACTTGCTCTGTTTTCTTAAATGAGAGGGATAAAGTCAACCAAGGTCCTGACAGCCTGAGAACCAGTTTGAGAATTTAAATGGAAAGCCACAGCGTCTTTTCTGGTAGCTCTGGAAAGCTCTTCAATGTCAAACAACCTTGTAACCTAGGATATAAAGAAACACTGACCTATACTTACGTGTTAGCAACTTCTCTTGCTGGACAAAGCCAAAAGGTCTTTGGAGGAAACACATCAGCACATTTATGTAAATAGCACTTCCAGTGGATAAAGATTTTGCAGGTTCTGCAAGATCTGAATCGGCCGTTTTGTTTTGGGCCTTGAACCTCATCAGCCACTTGCTCTGAACAAGCTTTTCATTCAAATATGGTCATTATCACTAACACGCACATACGAATAGTCTTCCTGCAACAGTTGAATAACTCCACAAAAAAAGTCAGAGTCAAAAAAATAGTAATAAAGTTTCATTTAATCAACACTATCAAATATTTTTGTATAGAACACCAGCACGTGGCTTAAACAAGGGAGAATCTTGAAGGCAGTAAGATGACTGACAAGAAGAAATGTCAGCTAATCATCCAGCAGGTTACAAGGAAAAAATATATTTCTGCATTTCCGCTCAGAATGTCAAATACCCTCAGCCCTCAGATGCACTGACTTCTCACCTTGCCCTTTTCCCATAGGCATTTAGTAAGAAAGGTTACTCCTAAACAGCCCCCAGTCCAGCCCGTAGTTGCAGGAAGCTGGATAGGATCTAATGCGGGCTGCTGTGTAGCTTTTCCTAATCCGGGCTGAAACAACAGCACTCACTGTGTGACCTTGAAGTTTATCTACCCTCTTCCACCATGCCAATCACGGCTATAAAGCAAAACAAGGACAACACGTAAAGCTCAAATTTCTGCATCTTGCTGTACTTACATGTAAAATTTTTATATTCATGCTCTAAAATACACACTAGAGAGAAAATGAGATAGAAATCAGTATGTTAGACCTTTGGAAACCAGCCTTGAACAACAATGAAGAAAACTGTGTCATGGGCTAAAGCGGTGGGAAGGAGCCCAAACTCCTCACTGAAGGCTTGTTCTTTCTAGGCTTTGAACTGCTGCAGCTGAGCATTATGCCTGCATCAATGTGTTACTTCAGACCACAGGAAAAAAATAAGAAACAGCAGCAGTTTTCAGACTACAGAAAAATACTTGAGATCAAAACCAGGCATGCCTTGTTTTCTGTTGACCTTAAAAATAAAGCCATAGGAGAAGCTAGCAGAAGTTTACTTAAGCAGCAAATGTCCTGTGATTCACAGAATGACTGAGGTTGGAAGGGACCTCTAGACAGCATCTAGTCCAACCCCCCTGCTCCAGCAGGGACACCTAGAGCACGTGGCACAGGGTGGCATCCAGGCGGGTTTGGAAGATCTCCAGAGAAGGAGACTCCACAACCTCTCTGGGCAGCCTGTTCCAGGGCTCTGTCACCCTCACAGGAAAGAAGGTCTTGCTCATATGGAGATGGGGAACTGCCTGTGTTTTAATTTATACCCATTACCCCTTTTCCTGTCACTGGCCACCACCGAGAAGAGTCTGGCCCCATCTTTGCATTCTCGCCTCAGGTATTTGTACATGTTGATCAGATCCCCTCTCAATCTTCTCTTCTCCAGGCTAAACTGGCCCAGCTTGCTTAGTCTTTCCTCATACAATAGATGCTCCAGTCCCTTAATCATCTTCGTGGTTCTCCCCTGGACCCTCTCTAGAAGCTCCATGTCCCTCTTGTACTGGGAGCCCAGAGCTGCACCCAATACTCCAGGTGCGGCCTCACCAGAGCTGAGCAGAGGGGCAGGATCACCTCCCACAGCCTACAGGCAATGCTCCTGCTGATGCAGGCCAGGATCCCATGGGCCTTCTTGGCCACGAGGGCGCATTGCTGACTCATGGGTAGCTTCTTGTCCGCCAGGACTCACAAATCCCTCTCCACAGAGCTGCTTTCCACCAGGTCAACCCCTAATCTGTCCTGGTGCCTCGGTTATTCCTCCCCAGGTGCAGGACCCTGCACTTGTCCTTGTTGAACCTCAAGAGGTTCCTCTCTGCAGGGTTTCTTCTTAGGGTTAGGGTTTCTTCTGCAGGCTAAACAGTCCTAGCTTGCTTAGCCTTTCCTCGTAAGATAGATGTTCCAGTCCCTTAATTACTTTTGTCGCTCTACATTGGACCCTCTCTAGAAGTTCCACATCCCTCTTGTACTGGGGATTCTCTTCATGATTCTCTTCGTATTTTTATATGCATATAGATGAAGAGACATAAAGAAAACAGTGGTGCAGAAATGACACAGACTTCAAACAAAGTGAGTGAATTTACAGCTCCACTCATTTCCCTTTGCCTGCTTCAGCCCTGTCTCCACGTCACTCTTACCACAATCTCTTTCTATGCTCTAATCCAGCAGCACCAGAGCACTTACCAGGTAGAATGTGTCTAAAATAGCTGCTCTCCAGGTGAGGGTACGGTGGTGGAGGTAGGGTGTAGTTTCTCTCGGGTATACCACACATCACTCCTCGATCCCCAATACCCATCGGGAGCATCAGGGACAGCGCAGAGGGCAAGGAACTCAAGGAAGGGCCCAAGTTTGGAATTGCCACAGGCAAGCCTGCAAAAGAAGACATCCTCAATGGAATTATTTGAGCTTACGAAGAAATAACCAAAGCGGCTTTCTAATTGCTTAGAAGTTCACTATGGAAGCACAGTTTGGTATTTTCAAAGCAAACTGACAAGTTCCAAAGACAGCTTGACGGTTATTACACCGAGGGGCATGCCTGAATGCGGCTAGATATAATTTTTCATTTACTACTTAGGGTCTGTTTCCACTTTGCAAATGTTTGTGGAACTCCTTGAAGGAGAACAAAAATGGAGCTAAGAAAACAGTATTGCTTTAAAGGTAGAAAAAAATAGAAAAAAAAATTATTCCCACCCAAGTGAAAACAGCCAGCCAGCTTTGCTGCTACAGTTCACGTTTCGACAGAGTCTGCTACCACTCACCTACACCCCATTAGCACAAGACCAGATTCCCACTTAGGTGCAGGCCTGGCAAGCACACATCCCTTCGGCTTCGCCCCACGAGCGATGGCTTACGGTCCGTCCTGCCACAGCGCTACCCCATCACCCGAGGCACGACGAGCCCTGCTGCAGCACACGCTGCAAACCCCAGCGTCGCCACCGACCCTGAACTTCCCCGGCAGCGTCAAAGGTGGAGCAGGGGCTGCCGTTCCCCCCGGGGGGGTTTCCTCACCTGGCGCCGCGATGGCGCTGTGCGTGGGTGACGCTGCCAGGCCCAGGTGGCTCCCGGACACGGGCAGGGCGTTGCTCACTGAGGAGGAGGCCAGCTGCTCCATCCCTACGGGGCTCAGGCTCATTTCATTCATTCTGGGCCACAGGGAACAGAGAGGAAAGGGAAAAGTGTGAGAGGGAAACAGAGGCAACAACATTCCTGATTACTGTGATGGAGAAGGGCTGAGCGAACAAACATAAAATCAGGTATTACACATTAAAACTCTTAAAAACGCATTAAAACTTTAGCAAGGTATGCATACGACGCATCGGTCATCACTCATGCTACAACTACAAAGCGATCGATACACGTTGATCATGTTAGATACCAATACGCAGGATTTAAAAGCCAGTTCCAAAACATAAATCGGACCGTAGCTGTCTCAGGTTGTCCAGAAAACAGAGCCTCACTCTAAGCTTATAGCTGAGCCACTGTGATTTAAGTATTGTCAACCCAGACCGGTTTGCAAGCCGAATGCCACCAATGTTTGGGCAACGGCATCTGATTTATACTTTATAACTTCTGAAACCCACACTCACGCTCAAAGTAAAATCACTTAAATCTGGCAGAGGACACGAAGCCTTTAATTCACCAGCGACCTGGACCAGGCCAGCAATGACATGAGTCGCCTCTGCAAAATAACCATTTTGTGGAGTTTTACGAGGCCGCCCTGGGCCGGCCCGACTGCCGCCCGCTCCTGGAGCGCAGGAGAAGCCGGCCCCAAGGACCGGCACCTTCGCGGCTTCGGAGCCGTCACCCGCGGGCGCCCGAGGGCCGGCGCATCCCGCGCCTGCAGCGCC